CACTACATATAACACCACCCATCATCACTACATATAATATCATCCATCATCACTACATATAACAACATCCATCATCACTACATATAACTCATCCATCATCACTACATATAATATCATCCATCATCACTACATATAACAACATCCATCATCACTACATATAACACCATCCATCATCACTACATATAACTCATCCATCATCACTACATATAACACCATCCATCATCACTACATATAACTCATCCATCATCACTACATATAATATCATCCATCATCACTACATATAACATCCATCATCACTACATATAACACCATCCATCATCACTACAGATCGGTAAAGTAGTTTCCGAGATTCTCGTGCGGACACACAAACACACAAACAGACATACTTCTTTGTTTTATATAGATAGATATCAAATTCCAAACGTATATAAATGGCTTCAAAGCTATTACTCGGGTTTAAGTAAGTACTAGTATTTGTTTTCATTGATTATGTAATCATAATCAAATCATAATATTTGTTTTCTGAAAATTATATCATAATCGAATAAAAATATAATTATAGTAATAATCATAATCTAACATTTAAAGAGTAATAATCAATTATTAAAATATGATTATTGTATCCTAATTGTAACTTATATACTCCATTCACAGATGAACATCACTATGTTATGTTGTGTTCAAAGATGGAGTAGTAGTATTTAGTACCCTGTAGTAGTCTGTGTCAATTAATGTTTCCCTATTGGTACTGAAGTTAATACAAATTCTACTTAATATAACTTGCTGCAGTACAATCACCCTTAAAAAGGCTTCCATTAAGTTGATAATTGATTTAACAATTTTAAATAAAATGTTAGTACCGATGTTATTAATAGTATATTACTTTTGCTGTCTAATGAGCATGTTGTTACATCATTTTCCCCAAAGCTCAGGTAGGTAGGTAGGTACAGTCAGGAAAGATGTTGCCCTTACATACAGTCTATTTGAATATGTAAATGAGACCAGAGGTTGATTTATGTATTTGATTTGCATTACCTCAATTGCAAAATGAAATTATGAAAATAATTTTAGAAACATTACATTACTAAATAAATTTGTACATGATGAAAATGATTAAATGTAGCAGAAATAACTTGAATGACTGTACTAGGTATTAACAGTTTTGTTAATTATAATGGTGATAAGAATGTGAACATGAATTATTTATAGAATACAATGATGTTTTCTCTATAGCTAATTCAGTGTTGACTATATGTATAATCCTGATTCAGAAAGTAGACTACTGTGCTATATTTAGTCAATTTAATTCCTTCAACAATATATAAAGAGAGAGAGAGAGAAAGAGAGAGAGAGAGAACATCAGACGCCAGAGGAATAACTTTATATAAATAATTTAACCCCCCAATTCAATGCCTACGCCTACACCATGGCTCCCACGCCACCCACACGCCCACCCACGCCACCCACACATCGACCCACGCTACCCTACACGCCCATTCACGCTACCCTACACACCCACCCACACATCGACCCACATTACCCTACACGTCCACCCATGCCATCCACACATCGACCCACGCTACCCTAAATGCCCACCCACGCTATCCTACACGCCCATCCACGCTACTCCCACACGCCCACTCCACAGATCGACCCACCCACCCACCCATCAACCCACTCTACCCTACACGCCCACCCACGCCACCCACACATCGACCCACACTTCCTTACTCGCCCACCCACGTTACCCCACACGCCCACCCACGCTATCTCACACGCCCATCCACACGCCACTCCCCTACACGCCCACCCACAGATCGACCCACCCACCCACCCATCAACCCATTTCTACCCTACACGCCTACCCACGCCACCCACACATCGACCCACACTACCCTACTCACCCACCCACGTTACCCTACACGCCCACCCATACCACACACACGCCCACCCATGCCACCCACACGCCCACCTACGCCACCCACGCTACCCTACACGCCCACCCACGCTACCCTACACACCCACCCACGCTACCCTACACGCCCGCCCATGCCACCAACCACGCCTACCCACGCCACCCAACACGCCTACCCACGCCACCCACACATCGACCCACACCACCCTACTCACCCACCCACGCCACCACACGCCCACCTACACACACACACGCCCACCCATGCCACCCACACGCCCACCTACGCCACCCACGCTACCCTACACGCCCACCCACGACTCCCTACACACCCACCCACGCTACCCTACACGCCCGCCCATGCCACCAACCACGCCTACCCACGCCACCCAACAAATAAGAGTTAACGTGCAGGTGTTGCATTCACTGAGGCTGCTACAGGTAATTTAATGAAATGATCTACGCTTCGACGATCTAAAGGTCACAAAATAAGGTCTCGGAAATACTCTAGTAGTGTTGGGCTGTTTCGTTTTGTTAATGCTGCGTTGTTTCGTTTTTGTTAATGCTGCGTTGTTTCCCGTTTTTTGTTAATGCTGCGCTCTTCTCGTGTTTTTCATACTGTGCCTTTTCTCACTTTTTGGACTTGACATATTATTGGACCATTTCTTTTGCATATACCGTACTGTGTTCATGATAATTTTGTTGGTTGTAAGTGTGATGTTAAGTAATAAAGATGGTTTTAGTAAGTGTTAAGTAAAGAATTAAACGTTAGTGTGTGTGTGTGTGTGTGTGTGTGTGTGTCCAATTGCCTTTCATGTGCGGCCAGCAATATGAATGACAGGTGTTAATGTAAAGTCACGGTGGAGATGATTGTCGCCATCTCTAAGCGAAACTCAAGAAATGTGAAGAGTCTGTGGCCAACGCTGTGTGGATGGCCGACGCTGTGTGGATGGCGGACGCTGTGTGGATGTCTGTATCGTATCTCTGTCTGTAAATGTGTGTGGGTGTTACTCTCTCTGTGTGTGCCCAAGTCTGTTTTTTTCTGTATATCTATGTATCTTTGTAAATGTGTGTGTGTGTGTGTGTTTTTTTTCTGTTGTCTGTTTCTGCATTTTTCTGTGTATGTGTCTGACAAATTCTTTCTGTGTCCATAACAACATTGGTGAGGGTCACGTATGACATAGCACTATAATGCTCCAAAAAAGTAACTCTCTTAGTCACCCAGTATATACTAGGTCAGGCTGTCACCAGCTACTCCTCAGTGTACCAAGATCGAGTTACATCTTAGCTCTGTTCTTGTACCGTCACAGGAAACATGATAAGTTATCTTTATTGAATTTTGTTATCATGTTAGTAACGATTAATCATTTATTTGTTTTAGTTTGTCCAGCTGTCTGTTGTTGTTATAATTATTCAGTTATTATTATATTTGTCCAAAAAGTAATGTTTCTGTCATGCCAATTAATAGTTTTGTTCAATAATTATCAACATAAACATTGTACATCATCTGAAAGTTATCGTCGTTCGGTCGTGTTTTTTAGCTGAGTTTCGAGTCATTTGACCTTTATAAAACAAGTAAAATAATGGTTTATGTCCAGCAAGTGATATTTTTGTCCGGCAAGTACATATTTTTTATCCGGCAAGTACATATTTTTTATCCCGCATTGAAAGTTTTGTCTACCTATGTATATCTTTGTCCGACTAATACTGTTTTGTTCGACCATTATCAACACAAAAACACCGTATCACCTGCCAATTACCGTCATTCAATCTAGTCATTACCTGAGCTTAGAGTCGCCTGCACAAACACCAGTCTGATGTTCACACGACTGAGGAGATAGTGTTGTGATGGTGGTGGTTTGGTGGGGTAACGAGGTGTGAAATGAGCTGTGTGTGTGTGTGTGTGTGTGTGTGTGTGTGTGTGTGTGTGTGTGTGTGTGTGTGTGTGTGTGTGTGTGTATGTGTGTGTGTGTGTGTGTGTGTGTGTGTGCGTGTGTGTGTCTTCCGGTTGTTGCCTGTGTTCCGCCCGTCGACCACGCCTACAATATGCCGTTCCATACACTTATTATCCCATCTACACCCACTATCTCCCCTACATTCATTTCTGCCATGACAAATATGACACTGTCACATTTGCCACGCCCTCACGCACAGGCAACGTTCTCTGCTATTTGTCAAGGCTCATTGCCACGCCTACACGCTACTCACACACACACACACACACACACACACACACACACACACACACACACACACATATACATTCACTCTGTCTGTCTGTCTGTCTGTCATACAACACGCATTACTTTACCCAAATTATTCTATTATTAAATTTTCAATACACTAAAAAAAACAAATCTGGTAATCAAACACAAGATTTTTTTTTTCAATTGATGTTAAAAATAAAGATATAAATTAAGGCTATTTATAAGATAAATAAAAATACATATTACAACTAGCATTTTCTTAGATACATTTAACCTATAATAAACTCTCACTTAACCGGCACTCTCCATTATCCGGATTTTAAAGTTGTCCGGATTTTGTCTGACTAAAACTAACATCCAAGACAAATATTAACACCTCGTTATAGTGGTACCTTGTTACAGTGGTCTTACCTCGTTATAGTGGTACATTTTGTTTTTAATTTTGTTTTTCTTTTTTTTTTCTTTTTTTTTAAGGGATTAGCCCACCCGGGCACAGGTCACTGACCCACATCGGGGCCTGGGGGGCGAAAATGTAATAATAATAATATTAAAGAACCATAAAGAAATACACAAATGAAAAAAGATCAAAAGTGAGAAACAAAATATGTATGTTGTGTTCTTAATAGTAAGAGAAACAATTGAGACCCTGCAATTGTGTGTAAATGAGGCAGAAAGTCAGATCAGCAACCTGAGACTTGGTCACAATTTTCGTGGTGCCATATGGCAGCAGGGTCTACCATTAGACAACACATTATGCTTCCAATATCTTCCCAGGCGGTAGTACCTCCCTGTTTGGTAGCTGCCTACTACCTACTACCTATAGAGGTACCTTGTTAGTGGTTTTACCTCGTTATAGTGGTACCTTGTTACAGTGGTCTTACCTCGTTATAGTGGTACCAGACGATGTACAATGGCCGCTCGGTGGTGTGGTCCACTATACAGGTGAGGTTAATGAGAGAGCCCCGGTGTACGTAGATCTCGGGCCCGTTGAGGATGGTCGCGCTGGGTACTGTGGGAGAGACGTGGAAAATGCGTGGTTACAATCTGCTGAGGCGTGGTTAGAACTTGCCAATGTATGGAAGGGGCGTGGTTAGAGCTTGTCAAGGTATGGAAGGGGCGTGGTTAGAACTTGTCTAGGTATGGAAGGGGCGTGGTTAGAACTTGTCTAGGTATGGAAGAGGCGTGGTTAGAACTTGCCAATGTATGGAAGGGGCGTGGTTAGAACTTGTCGAGGCGTGGGAGGGCGTGGTTAGAATCCCTCAAGGTGTGAAATGGGGTTGGTTTGATGCTGGACCTACGTGGTTAGAACTTACTAAGGTTAGGTCGCTCTAAGCATGGGAGAACGAGGTTAGAACTAAGAAGAGGTTGGATAGAATCCTGGAAAGTTTGGTTGGACAAATTTTAGGGAATAGGGGGAGTGGTTAGAACTCGTCTAGGCGTGGTTAAAATCCAATGAATGGTGAGAAGGCGTGGTTAAAATCCATTGAGAGGTGAGAAGGCGTGGTTAAAATCCATTGAGAGGTGAGAAGGCGTGGTTAAATTACATTGAGAGGTGAGATGGCGTGGTTAAAATACATTGAGAGGTGAGAAGGCGTGGTTAAAATCCATTGAGAGGTGAGAAGGCGTGGTTAAAATACATTGAGAGGTGAGAAGGCGTGGTTAAAATCCATTGAGAGGTGAGATGGCGTGGTTAAAATACATTGAGAGGTGAGAAGGCGTGGTTAAAATACGTTGAGAGGTGAGAAGGCGTAGTTAAACTACACTGACAGGTAAGACGACGTGGTTAGGACGTACCGAAGTGTGAGGAAGCGTGACCAGCTGCAGAGAAGGCGTGAGAAAGCACAGCAGGAATAAACAAGAGCGCGGTAAGACATAACAGCAGCGTTATAAGTTGCTGCCAGAACCCGTTGGGGCGTGGCAAGGCTTGATGAGAATCCGTCGAGGCGTAGAAAGACTTAGTTAGAATAAGTCGAGGCGTAGTAAGGCGTGGCCAAAACCCACTAAAATGTGATTCGAACCCATTGTAACGTGGCAAGGCGTGGTCAAAACCCACTAAAACGTTGTTCGAACCCATTGTAACGTGGCAAGGCGTGGTCAAAACCCACTAAAACGCGGTTCGAACCCATTGTGGCGTAAAAAGCGTATAGGGAGTACGTGGTCAGAACCCATTGACGCGTTAGAACCCAGTGTAGCGTGGGGAAGGGGTGGGTGAGAACCTACAGAGGCGTGGGAGGGGAGGAGGTTGTGAAAGGCTGACCGGCGGATATGAAAGGAAAAAAACGACTGAAGGATAAAAGAAAAAACTGAAAACCTGATAAAATGTCACGAGAGAGAGAGAGAGAGAGAGAGAGAGAGAGAGAGCAAACGATGACAGACAAACCTTCTGATGAAAAGGGAGAGTTTTCTAGAGATGATAAAAAGATCAAGATAAACAAGAAGAATGTAAATAAACAGACAACAAAAAGGAATACAAATAAAATAAGGAACAACAAACTAACAGGACACAATACAATACACGAAAGGAACCTTACCCCCTCCCCACACAAAGGACCACCCCACCTCCCCCACACAAGGAAAGAAATTAACTACAAAAAAAAAAAAAAAAACAATGTTAAAAAGAGTATAAAAAAAAGATGTAAAACAAAATTATTAAAAATCAAGAGAAACGTAAAAATAATAATAATAATAATAATAATAATAATAATAATAATAATAATAATAATAATAATAATAATAATAGAATAAGATGAATAAAATATAATATAAATCAACACAAAGACGATGAACATTCCAGGGCATGAACACCACCTGATGACATTACACTACGAGGTGGAGAATGACCCTAATGTATCGTCATCGTCATCCCTTCCCTGTTCTCATCCGGATATTTAAGTATTCACAAAGTTTCATATGTTAAATTTTGCTTCTGTAAGTGTGAAAATTATCAGAGATTAACATGGAATAGTTTATATAAATAATACTTTATTGAACGTAAAAGCAAAATTCTAGTACTGTGAACGACAAATTTAGTGTGTATAAACGTTTGTGTGTGTGTGTGTGTGTGTGTAAATGTGCCAACTTAGAGACTAATTCGCGCCCGACAGTGGAGGAGGAGGAGGAGGTGGAGGAGGAGGAGGAGGAGAGTGTGGAATGTGAGGATTATGGACTGAATGTGAGAGAGAGAGAGAGAGAGAGTGTGTGTGTGTGTGGAGAGAGTTATATAGGATTTAGAGTGCAGGAGAGTTCAGAGTGTGTGAGAGGAGGAGAGAGAGAGATAAAAAAGTGGATCATCATAATCCAACTTCCTCCTCCCCAGCCTCTGTCTCCCCCCATCCCTCTCTCCATCTCTCTCCTCCCCCTATCCAACCTCTCCCCCCACCCCTCTCTCTGTCCTCTTCAACCTCCCTCCACCTCCCTTCCCCTCACCACCCCTCCCCCTCTACTCCTCCCCTTCCCCTCACCCCTCCTCCCCATGTCACACAACACGTCACTGAAGAAGATGACCCACGTCAAGTAGCCAGCATGTTCCTCCTGGTCGCTGTAGTGGTGTTGGTCATAATCTGAAGGGTAGATACTGTGTGTGTGTAGGGCAGCCAGGCCAGTCACAAGGTTGAGAGCTAATATGAGAGGCCACTGATTTCTATAGCTCTTGATGCTGTTATGGTGTTTAATATATCTGTAGTGTTCTTTTTCTCTATTATCTCTATATTACCTCACTATGTCTTCTTTACTCTCTCTCTTTCTCTCTCTCTCTCACACACACACACACAAAAAAAACAACAACAACATCGTACTAACTTTGAACCACTGAAATAAACTTTTTACCACACACTCTGATACAACAATTGACTCAGAAAACACAACAGTTAACTTTATCCACCTTCGGTATTTGTCCCTCGTCGTGTATAATGGACAAGCCGATTAGGAGTTGGGTGGGGAGGGGGGGGGGGGGGTGGAAATACTGTTCTGTCTAACCATCTATCCATCTATCCGTCAGTGCGAGATGTGAACGAGGATAAGTCGAACGTATGTACATATATGGATTTTTGACGAAAACCCCAATTAAATATATACTTTATTACTTATTGAGATCCCAGAGACGTATTAATAGGTATATATATATTTTTGTTCATTGTTGTAGGGAACTTGTTTTATATTTACCTGTCTCGGGGCAATTAGTAGACGGGTGTTGGGGTAATTTTTGTTTTAAGGATTGACAGTCACTTTACCGAGTTGGGAATGGACTTCACTGGGTTGGGAATGGGTTTTACAGGGCTGGGAATGGACTTTATAGGGCTGGGAATGGACTTTACTAGGCTGGGAATGGACTTTACTAGGCTGGGACGTGGACCTTACTTCAATCTTGTCCTGGTTGCGTGGATTTGAACCATATTGATCTACCCTTGAACCTTGATAGACCTTATTATACACGGTGCTTCAGCCACTAGTGACCCAACCCCCTTAACCAGCCAGGCAATATAATAATCAATAAACTCTGAACGGTGGTCTTAGTGAGGTAAATGTGAGGTAAATGTGAGGTAAATGGGTTGCTCAATCGACCTCCAGGTTTTTCATCATTCTGAGCTATTGACTAAGTGCCGCCCTACTTTTTTTTAGCTTCCTTGGTGAGCGTTATAGTGTAGAAGTTGTTTGGTCGGTAAATGGTTCCCGTCGCCACAGAGGTGAGTTTATATTCCATTATATTAGAAGTTCCAGATCACAAGTTTGTTTTGCCTGATGATTAAAAATAAAACAAAAATCCTTACTCTAACCTATCTTAAACTAGCTTAACCTAACTTAGCCTAACATAACTTAACCTAGCCTAAACTAGCCTAATCGAACCAGATCTAGCCAAATGTAACCTGACCGAAACCTAACCAAAACTAACACAACCTAACCTTACTTAATCTAACCTAAACTAATTTAACCTAATCTAATCAAACCCTACCTAATCTAACCCCATCCAGGTAGGGTTAGGGTGTTCAATCATCAGGTGAACTAAGCTGAGAGGAGAGTTAATCATCATATGACCTAAAAATCCTTATATTAAACAATGAATTGGAAAACAAAAACAAAAATAACAGTGAATTTACTGATTATTATAACTAGAATGATAACAAGATAACACCTAGAATGATAACAAGATAACACCGTCCTATACTTCAGTTCATTAAAATCTCTAACTTGTTTAAGAGAGACAGTACCTCGTGTCATAACTCTCAATATATTCTCAGGTTTTCCAGGTTGTTGTGATCTGATATGGTCTTGTCCTCTCTTTTATCCAGCTTCTCTCTCCCCCTCCCCTTCCCTCTCCCCTTTCCTTCCTTCTCCTCCCCAAGCTAGTTACTCTCTCTCCCCCTCCCCTACCTAGTTCAGCCCCTCCCTACTTCCTCTCCCTCTTTTCCCTCTTCTCTTCTCTACCCAGGTCCTCTCACTCCCTTCCTCCTCCCTCTCCCCAGCCCTTCACTCCCCTTCCTCCCTACTCAACGCATCTCTAAGTCCTTACTATTCATTAAACCAATATTAATAATAACGCAAAGAAAATGGGAACTCACCTTCATCATTACTAACAAAAAATAATAAGAACTTTGACCTCATTATCACTAGTAAAGGAATAAAAAACGTTCATATGAATAATAAAGAAAAAATAAAACTCACCCATTAAATAATAAAAAAAGGCCTCATTATAAACGGCGTTACGTATATTTAATATTTAATTTTGGCGGTAAAATTTCCCCCGTAAATGAAAAACCAAAACAAGGTGTAAATGACGGGTGGCAGGGGAGAGGCTCTCAGCTGGCGTTTTGGAGCGCAGTATTGGCCGTCACTCAGCTGTTCAGGGCCTCGGTGTCTCAAGTTTTTGTGCGTTAATTTCTTGGCTGATACTACACTCCGGGTCCGGCCCTCAAAATAATATAAACGATAAAGAGCCGGATGTACCGTAGCCTGTGTATAAAGTAAAGATTTATGGCAGCAAAGACAAAATAACTAGACCTACTACAGTAATTT